ATTTTACAAAAAAAAAGAATGGAGATAAAGGGGATACACTATGCGTTTGAACGAGATATAAATCTGCGAGAATAAAAAGGACTATATGTAACGTCACGTCGAAATGTCACGTTTTTTGCAACGAAACCGAGGAAACAGATCGCGTATAAAATGTATTTCCTGTCAATCTGTGTCGTACATTGCGAATCTTTTCTCTCACAGGATTCGTAACTATGTATCTTCGTTTCATCTACGACACATGTAAGGCCGCCAGCCTTTCTGATCGTCCATCAATTAATCACGCAAGGCAATTAACGTCACACAAAAAGGAAAGAGCACATCGCGATCATGCGATAATTATCGTAACTAGCTTCGTACATTTGTATTTGCCAGATCGCTTCGATCGAATAGGAATACGAGAGGGCAGCAGCAGCAGTGCATTAAAAGGGATGAACTGACATGAAGAGACAACGAGGGATGAACGCACGTCGGCGGGGAAAGAGAACGTAAACGTAGTCGCTCTCGCGGTTCACATTCTGTATAATTACGGCAAATTAGTGCGACGTTATTGTGATGTCATTGAACCGTGACTTACGCTCGATAACGAGCGCGTGTTTAGTTATGCGATATTCCTGCGACAATAGCTACTAGATCATTGATTTTGATATGTCCGATTTTAATTCAATCACGGAGTATGAACATATTGGAGAGAATAATATCAGGATTCGATATTCTTATTCGACTATTAGCGAATAATGGATTTCATTTTACGATACAATTGAAGATTGCTGCAATAATAAGCTATAACACGCGCGTTGTAAAAACGTTTGTAAAAACACAAAAAATAAATACTAAAATTAAAGAGGGAAAAATATATATATATGTTTATTTGCACATTCTGCAAAAATTCTGTCAAAAATCTGTTTTGGCATATGTTCGAAAAATTTATTATGCAGATCGTGAATAAAGAATATGAGAGGAATAAAACATTTTTCTATATAAAATGGCTACATTGCTCAATGGAAAAAAAAATATGAATCACTATGTAAACATAACAGTAGATTAGCCCAATCTTTGAGACAAATAGAGGACTCTGTTCATTCATTTTTATCTAAGATATAATAAGAGCTGTAGATTTATCTGTAGAATAGCTCAAATCTTTTATATAAGCCAAATGCTGACTTTCTTATTTCAATTACCATTTTTGACTTAATCTATCGTCCAATAAGCGTTTAGTTCTTTAATATGAAGGGCAAACATGGCAGACTTTTTTTTAGTTACCTTAGTAAATCTAGAGTTCTAATTTTTACCAATATTACATATATGATTACGATATTAGTTAGCCTATTGTTGCAGCAAGCCGTTTAATTACTTAAAATTTTGACAAAGTAGATAATATATTTCTCTGAACCATTTTATATATCCAGATTTTCAATAGGAATAAAAAAGATGTCTCGCCTCAAGAGATACTTTGTTTAGCACAAATACTTTCCCAAAGCATTGACTATAATAAATAACTCATGTTGTAAAATTATGAAACTCCTCGCGTTGCGAATATTGCGAAAGTTTCATTTGTGAACAGTAAAGTTAACAAACAATCTTTTCGGGATACATGTTTCTTAATCAGCGATACTGATGAAATAGAAGCCGAAGAACAACAGCGTATACGCGACCGAGATTTCGCATTCTGTGCTTAGTTCTAAACTAACTTATATTAACTCTCTCGGATTATCCTTGAAGTGCCCCTTATAACCGCCGGAAGATTACAACTTGAGGAAATTGTTCGGCAGACGAGAGCTAAAGTTCGACACCTGTCGAGTCCCGAGACTGGATAGCTACTTTGTTGAGACTCTCAAGTCATCTTGGATGTGGATCTCAAGTGTGAAATGTCGAAGTGTCGTAGTACTTAAGATTAACGCTTCCTCTATATTATTGCCATTAGTGCCACATGTGTATTGTTTTATGACGTTAAAATATTGTGAGACAGTCTCATTTTTCTTGAAAAAATCGATTTAAAAATATGCAGCTCTTTATCTAATAGTTATTTAACTAAAATAATGATAATAATGAATAGTAATAAGCTTATTCTGTACAAATTATTAATATAAAAATTCATAGAGAATATGCGAGACTAAACATTTATTAAAATAGCTAATGAAGAAAAATAAAAATAAGAGTCAAGTGCAATAATAGGTACGCATTATTAATACATCAAATATAAATACTATATACGACAAAAATTACATATTATGTTACGCTGATAAAATAATATAAAAATAAAATACATTGCAGCGTAAATTACAAAGTTGGAAGCGTAGCACTTATTAAAATATTTTTTAAAACGTGTAGAAAACAGTAATGTCCACACATATCTTGCTTGCATTTATTTGGACGTGACATTTCATTATGATATTTTATTTCATTACATTGGATTATGAAATATTATAAAACAACCAAGATATAGAATAAACTTGTGATAGTTGTACATATCATATTGCGTGTACAATACGCAACACATAATTAGTATATTAAACGCATTTTAGCGATGCAGCGCGTATTTCATAATCAAGAGTGCGCGAAATGGCGTCAAGCGTCTATGCATTTTATCAGGATTCCGGCATGAAGATATGAAGATATAAAAATATAGCGGCTGCATTTGTCCCCGGTGCTCGTTTCTCAGGGACCTTATTACATGGAAATATTACGCCGAGCTCACGAATAGGGACGAGATAACGATTCGCGAAGAGCGATGTGGTACGCTTTTTCCTTGGTATTAGACAGCCAAGGTGGGAACACTTCATTTCAATGTTCCTCGTATTATTAACGGTCTTTTGTCGGTTTCGGGGAGTCCTCTCGACAAAATCGTCAACGAAGCGACAAGAGGAGCATTTATCGTCGTCACGAGCCGACACGATTCGCATCTTGTATATCCGTAATGAAAAATTGTCACGAACGAGTGAACAAAATCACTCTTCATTAATATCCGATGTCATGTGACCGACGTTATGTCGTTACTTACATGTCACGCCGATATATGTAAATATGAAATACGAATTCACATGGAATAAAAGTGAATGAATTGAAATTCGCCGGTTAACGCACTGTCGCGCTTTTGTTGTCGTCACGAAAAATCTCGCAGCTACGATCGGTCAATCGTGAATCGAATAGTCGAATTAAAATTTCGAACCAACGTCGACAGCGCTGTGCGTCAATAACGACGTCACTTACTGTGTCACTACCTATTTCAATTACAAATTTTATTCAATATTTATCCGTAAACTTTTCACTATGTTGTGAAATGTAAAACGGTCTCTGGACGCGTGTTTCGCCAAACTCGCATAAAACTTGGAAAATGGCTCGTTAAATTGCATCAATTATGCGCATTGTTTGCCTTGCGTGAGTTTTATGAAACTGACTCTGTGTGATGAAGATATACTTTTTGAAATTATGATAAACGCTTAATTAAATCAAATTCGAGTTTGAGAAAACCAAGATACATTATTGATAAATTTTTGAGGAATTTATATTATTTTTATACGAGAAAACTTTGCATACAACCTTAATGTAAAATAATTTTTTTTATCACTTTTTAAACAATCTAAAAGTTTTTTTTCAATTAAACTGTTTTAATATTTCATATTTAATATTTATAGCATAACAATATATAACTTAATCCCTTCTATTGAAAGTCAATGGATCAATTGAAACTACTATTCTTAAACTCCGAAACATAATAGGTACAGTGAACTTTAAGTCTAAAGAAATTGACAATAGTCATAGTCGATTATTCGACTGTGATTGCTCAATTTCTTGCTTACTACATCTATTGTGTTTCGGGATTAATGCTTGAAGTAAATGTTCTGTCCTTTACTGAAGTTCGCTTTTAGGTAGGTTAGTTAAGCGGTTTCGTAGATGACTGATTTAATTGTGATATTTATTGATTGAAACTGTATCGCATGAATAGAGTATTCCAATGTTAATTGAGGTTCATTGCATAGTTGAGCGACTGCATTCTGAAATCATGTACTAAATGTGAACGCTGAAACTACGATCTCGAAGATGAAAAAGAATTGACACGGTGCTTTAAAGAAACTGGATTTGAAAGGCAAATTTAATAACTCGAGAGCTAATGAATAAAAGCGATTGAATGATAAACTTGGAGTCGAGTCGGTCAGGACGACCGCGACAGAAATTTGAAAGAATTAAAGAATCAGTGAAGCATAAAAACGACTGGCGGAAGAAAAGAATGGGAATATATTTTCATTTTCGGAGCAATATACTCGGAAATATATTTTCCCAGTATACCAGGATGCTTCATTGAGTAAATCTCAAAATGATTAGTCTAACAAGAAATATGAATAGCGTAAATATAAGAATTATTTTATCTACAGTACAGAGGGGGATTTCGCGTGCTACGAAATATCTTTATTGCAAAAATCTGTTTGCAAGCTTATCGATTCGATTGATATTTATGACGTCAGTCTTTGCAAAATGTGAAATTGATAATTATACTTTCTATAGATCTGAATGTTACACATATACATAAAACAATTTAATATTTATATTTAACAATATATTTAACAATTTATATTTACATTATCATAGTTCAAATAAAATTTTTTTTATATTATTTTTTGAAAATGTTTATTTCTTATTAAAATAATTTTTGATCCATTTTCTAAATCACTTTGTATTACCTACTTTCTTAAATTTTTCAGAACATTTACTTACTTGAATTTGTATTACTTTCAAATATAATCTAGATAAATCTGTAATTTTTAAATAATTTTTTTATTGATGATAAAAATGTATATTCTTCGCACGGAATGTACTACTTAACTTAGAGTATTGATTTCAGAAAACTGCATGATACAAATAATACGTTCTCTTATATTACATACATGAGAAATTGCAATTTGTTTCGAGCTTCGCTTTAGCATTCAGGACTTGCATTTCTGCATGTCAGCGAGTCGATTGGCCCGCGAATAAGTTGGAAACGGTTCGCATCGACAAATACTCACTCGGATCCTTGACGGCTGTGATGACGAGGCGGAAGCCATTCGAGCTGGTGCCCCAGCCGTCGGTGACGTATTTCAACGTCACGAAGTTTGTACGCGTGTAAATCGCGCCCACGGTCTGCTTCGTGTTTCTGCAGGATAGATCTGCCTGGAAACAAAAGAAAATTGCGTTCGTTGAGTACATGCCACTTGAAGGAGGGAGGCAGAGGGATGAGAAGGTGCCTTTTTTGCAGACGCTCGTGCTAACGATGCAAATGTCGCGAGCGTGATATCGAACGAACATGGGGTGGACGACGTGCGCTTGATTTACGCGCGGATAGTTTTATATTGCAATGGACTAAAAGTCCCAATCGATTCTGTTCATGGAACGTCACGCGGAATGTGATTTATGTTGCTGCACATCTGCGAGACTTGCGAGAGAAAAGTAAATTTGACATGAAAACTTTGCGTTCTTGAAACCTTGAGGACGTTATTGATATTTATTTTAATCCTCGATTTGTAGAAAGTGCACATTTCACTTTTTCCTTAATATATGTCTTTTTGTCTGTTCCCTTCCGATAAATTCTTTTATTACTACATCTAACATTTTTATTCGCTGTGCGAATATTACTGAGAAAAGAGAAAACGTTTTTAAATTTCTTATATGAGATTTTAAAGGCGTGTAAGAAAAATGAGGAATGTAGATCCATATTGCCCGTGATATTACGCGTATTACCAAGAATAATAAAAATGTTCTCTTTTACATGTCATTAACTGTTCCCTCGCACTTTATGAATCAGGCGGCAATGATAAAGGGACCGTAATTTCATCATGGCGAAAGTCAGAATGGTAGCTTATAAAGGACCGCGTAAACGTCAAATAATGTTGTTTTCCGAGATGGCGGGCACTTTTAATAAAGCGGCTATCCGCACATGGTGCGCGGATATCTACCTTTTTTTTTTTTTTTTTTTTTTTTTTTTGGGGTTTTTTG